ACACTATCCTGGCGTCAACACTCCATGGTTTTAACAATTTACAGTCCATGGTTTTAACGTTGCTTTGAACTAAACATTTCCTTGGTTTCATTGTTTCATGTTAAATGCTTTTCTGGTGTGAATGATCTGCTGATCTTGATCCACAATCATTGAGACCTTGTAAATAACCCCGACATTTTGATTGACTCTGGCCTTTCGGAAGCTGAGAAACGATGGAAGACTTTGGTCACTGTTTTGATTAAAATGAGTTATGATAATTATTTAAATTATACGTCTGTCCTCATCACACCCTTCCCCAACTGTCCTTCACTTGTTTTATGTGAATGTTCATCTGCAACATCAATTAAACATAAAAATGAAAGCCCATTGTATCTGATTTAAAGTATGGGTATGTTTTTTTAATTCTTTTTCATTTCTCCCAAGAGAGAATGTAAAAAGTAAAGTTAAATCTAAAATATAAATTGTCAATATATAAACAAAGCAAACCAAAAAATGCGGTCTTCATCTTCATCTTATTAGAAAACATCTTTTACAAACTTGTAAGAAAGAGCCCTGTGCGTCACTTTGATGGTTTGGGCTGAGAACTCATCAGCTGAGTGAGGGTGGTCCTCTGTTACTTTTCAGTCTGAAAAAGTCACAGAACCAAACTGTTTTAGAGACCGTTTAAATACATTTTAAGTTCATTTGTTGTGGTTTTAAATTAAAAGTGAGAATTTAGCAAGATTTTGACTAATACTTTGCACAGTTCCACCAGCTGAACCTCCTCCATCTCACACCGCCTGGTTCCAGTTTCAGCACCCTGGATAGCTCCTCTGCACTTCTGCTCGTGTCCACAGGGCGGCGTAGTTGAGCCGAGCAGCGTCTAAAATCACCGACACATAAATCCTGACACAGAAACAGGAAATTACACTGCGCTGAAGCAGCATTTTTAGCTCATTGTTTTAAAGATGAATGCTATTGATTTGTTAATGGGTTTGGTTCATGTAAAGGAAGAGCCACAAACTTTCAGTCAATAAAGCAAAAAGAAGTTAAAGCGGCCGGATGTGTAAGATTATTTGAAATGTCACCAATAAAAAAGAAGTTCAAAACAAAGGTGATGAAACATGGCCTGAGCAAATACTGACTTAGGTGAGTCATTTGTTGTAGGTTCTATCTGATCTGCAATAACCTCCTGGCCTTGTAGTCCTATGTAAAAATCAGTCATTTGGTCGGGGGGCGAACAAACAATGTTTTCAACACCAAATACTGTATCCTGGTTTTTCACCTGAAGAGGGACAGGTACACGCCTGATTATGTGTGAGAAAAAGCAGGGGCAGGGGGTCAGGAAATGTTCTTACATAATAACGTGTCTCAAAGACGGGATCACACCCCAAATTAGTAATAAGGACATCTGTAACAACAGAAATATTGGTAGAAGAAGGATCCTCAACATGCATCCTGTATTAAACATGCGTTCCAGGGTTACAAAAAGAGAGGCTAAAACTAAATGGAACACAAATTACTAATTAAGAAAATAATATGACAATTCCACCAAGCAGGATTTGGCGCTGAGCAAAGTTGTGGACAACATGGAGATGTCATAAACATATTAGGAGAATGTGGTCAAAGTGATTAAGTAGAATTCATGTAAAACTCCTAATTCAGACACAGAAAGCAGAGCAAACGATCATAGACCGTTTGCTGTGGGTCATAGATCATGACCACTTTCTCAATATGCCTCCATAGAGTACAATGACTCAAAGAAAAAAACAAAACCGCAAACACAAGTAAAACATTGGCATCCACACCACTTTTCCTTTGTTATGTTATGTTTCCATTTTTACATCAATGTTTTTCTGTTTTTCACCAGGCAGGAGGGTGATGTTTCATTAGGTCTTTGCCTCAGCAGGGCGCAGGACCAAAGCTCATGACCATAGGTGAGGGAGGGACCGAAGATTGTCCGGTAAATCGAGAGCTTTGCCTTTCGGCCCAACTCCCTCTTTTCCACAATGCTCCGATACAGCGACCGCATCACTGCACAGATCTGCCTTTCAATTTCATGCTCCATTCTTCCCTCGTGAACAAGACCCCGAGATCCTCCACTTGAGGAAGGACCTCTCCACCTGGAGAGGACCAGGACCTGGCGAGGGCAAGGCACCTTTTTCCGGTCGAGCACCATGGCATCAGATTTGGAGGAGCTGTTCTCATCCCAGCTGTAAACCGTCCCAGTGCATGTTGCAGGTCCTGGTTCTCTGGAGGCTCACTCCACACTAAACTGTACCAAAGTGTTATATTTGGATCAATAATCAAAGGTTAGCAGCAATTTGCAGTTCCATGTATTTCTATTCTAATGCATGACAATGTTATAATTATCAGTTTTCCTCTACTAGAGCCATTACAAGGGTACGTCACCGCCACATCCTGTGGGAGATTATTTACATGATGAAGGTATTCTTTCTTGGTGGATTTTTTTGTTTAAATGTAATTGAAAACTGATAAGCCATTTCAATTACGTTTTCCGGAGTAAGTGAGCTTTAACATGAGATATAACATGCCATGGTAGCTCATTAACATCAATGCTGCAAGTTGATCATTATAATTGAAAATAATTTCAGGGACCTGAGTCTGACATGCCTGAGTCTGACGCCACTAATAAAAGGTGGGCATCTTTCTGCTGCATTTCAATATTGCACTTCAGGGCCTAAAGTTTTTAGGAACAACAGATGGAAATTAGTTTTCCTGCTATAATCTGTTTTATTTACGCTATTGCTACAGATGTTCTCCTTCTAATATCTTTATTGAGACTTTCCCATTTCCCATTATTAGAGAAAATGGAACTCTAATAAAACCGTGCCATGTAATGCCCTGTGTGTCAAATGTGTATCTTTCGGCTTATGAATTAAGCTTCTAATTGAACACATGCATTTCATAAGAGCAGACGTTGTAACAGGTTTTGACCCATTTTATTGTGGGCAGTCGGATACATGTCTCAATAACAAATAAAAAGGCCGATTTCCAAAGTCTGTACATTACATTCTGACAAAGAAGTGACCATCTTGCGGTGAATTCGAAGGGATCCGGGCTCAGGGTAAAAGTTAATACAGAGTTGGTAGAAAATAGAACGCAAACGGACTAAAAGTTTCACCGGTTATCACTTGAAGTACACCTCTAGCTATGTCTATTGAATACAGTCATACGATACAAGCACAGGTTAAGTGGTGGTTAGAGGAGATACAACCAAAGTGTAAGAAAATGCATTTGTTATAAGCCAAAAGGGTCACACGGGTTTCAAATCATAACTAGGATTTCATAGGAGAAACAAAACATATTTTCTCAAGTGTACAATATGTGCACTCATAAAATAAGGTGACAAAATAAAATTGCTATCAAATCTGTTGCCTTTCCTCCCCCAAGACATTCGGGTAAAAATAATCTTTTCTTCCTTTCCAGTTCCAGTTCCTTCGTCTGGCTGCAAAGTGCCGTGGGTCAATCCTCTTCGTCCGATAAGCGCCAAGGAAACAAGACTTAAAAAAAGGTGCAGGATGTAACTTTTCAATAAGAGATCCAACTCCTTTAGAAGTTGTACAGTTTGGCATTAAAATGTAAACATCTTGCTCTTTCTGCCATTGTAAATTGATAAAAAACAGAATTAAAAATATGCTCTGTAAGCCGTTTTGGTTGCAGTTCAAATTATTTTAAATGTATTTCTTATTTAGAGCCACAGAGAAGTATTGCATGTCGGTTTAAGAGCTGCTTTAGTTTCAATTAGGAGCCAGGAAAGTCCAGTTTGAGATCTGGTTTTGAGACGCCGATAATTGGAAGTCAAATATGGTGGTTTCTGAGGAGGAAAATTTGGATTAGTTAATCGTTACGAGCTGTAGCATGAAAAGATCAGACACTAATAGTTTGGAGCGAGCATTATTCCTTTGACGTTTCAGGCCACAGCAGAACCAGAGCAATAACACAGCCAGTATTTCCAGTGGGAAAGTTACAAACCGCACTTTTTTGAATCCGTTGAGGAAGAATGTGTCACTCAAAAGTGTTCTAGAAGTGAACTCACACTTATCGGTCACCTGAACTCCGGTCACTCCAGCAGTGACTGACTCGGTACACTACACTGCAAAAGTGACAGAAAAATAGGATTTACTTTAAAAGGGCGCCTATTTTGAGATTTGCCGATAAGTCAGTATTAGCCAAAGGCCTGGTGTCCAGTGCATGATTTGAGGAAAACCTACTTGGACACAGGGAGAATATGCAATAAACACAGAAAGCCCTGTCTGGAGGTGAACTAACCTCCACGCTGCAGTGGCGAGCACTGATCACTTTTATGAGGAGATCGGAGCAGACCAGTGTGATGTCCAGCACAGACCGGTCAGTGGAACATGAACAGGTTTAAGCACTTTTTAAGTCCGGTGTCACTCAGACACAACTGTGCAGTGACAGGCAGCGCTTTTCAAGAGAAATGGCTTTTGACCAAAGAAAAAATTTTTTCTCCAATTCTTAATTAAGTTGAAATGAAAAGTGACTAATACATTTAGTGCGTATGGTTTTGATGATAACATTCACTTTTGGTAGGATATTGTTATCAAATATAAATGATAGTTTTGCACCAATACAGCAACCGTCTGAAGATGAAAAACATGTTAAAAATGATCTGAAGTAAAACCAGGAAGTGCTATAATGAAATTACACTCTAATATCAAACATTTTGCCATATTTGTCAATACCAAGGAGATTTTAAATATTAATTTGGTAGAAATAAAGACCCTTAATAAGGGTAGCTGTCAAATAATAATTTCTGTGTTTTCATTATTAGATACACTTTTTTCCTGATAACAAACCATTTTAGTTTTTTAACTAAATCTGAAATAGTGTGTATTTTAGTCTAACCCGTCATATGTTCAGGACAGGTCATCCTTTGCAGTGTAGTGGAGCAGCCCAAACTGGGCCCACAGTGATCCAGAGCCCACACGCCTCAGTGTGAGTTCATCAGTGTGGCCGCGGCCCTGAACCAGTCCGGATCATTGGTTGTTCTTGGCTTTGGCGTGTGTGAGGATGTGGGACTTGAGGTTGGTGGACTGGGCGAACTTCTTATTGCAGCCGTCGAAGGGGCAGACGTAGGGCCGGTCCCCGGTGTGGATCCGGACGTGTGTGCGCAGGTTGAAGTCCAGAGAAAACCGCTTCCCACAGCCTTCAAAAGTACACTGTGCGACAAAGAGAAGTAGGAATAAAGTCATTTGTTCACAGTATTTTACAAAACTCTGTTGGTAAAAACAGTATCTGTCTTTGTAAAATACAGAATGCGATGATCCTGAAGTGTTTCGTAGATTGAAAAATAAAAATCTGTGCTGCTCATAAATGTGTTTCTATATAAATATAGTTCCTGTGTCCTTTATGGATAATGTGTATTTTTACATCATTTAGCTTTTCATAAAAACACAACAATGCATTGGTTTTACCTGATTTGTGATTCTTTCTTCTTCTACTGCCTGACCGTGAAAGTGTTGTACATTCACTCCATAAATAGCAGTGAGGGTGACAAACGTGGTTATAAATTCAAATGTGCCGTGTAGACAAACGAGCAAAAATAATGTGTTCCCATAAAATGTGCTCCTTTTTAAGACCTGGATTTGTCACACCATCAAACTTCACTGCGCTATATGAGGCGGGCCTTGGGGTGGCCCTGGCGCGTCTCAAATGTCCACCTCAGCTGTGGCTGTGTGCGCGCTCGGTCAGTCTGTCTGCGGGTCGGTCTGCGGGTCGGTCTGCGGGTCGGTCTGCGGGTCGGTCTGCGGGTCGGTCTGCGGGTCACCTGGAAAGGCTTCTCTCCCGTGTGGACCAGCTGATGCCTCTTTAGTTTGGAGCTCTCCACGAAGGCTTTCCCGCACTCGGCGCAGACGTGGACCCGCGGCCCGTGGGTGTGGAGGTGCTTCCTCATGGCAGAGTTGTCCCGGAACATCTTGGTGCAGCCCTGAGGGGAAGGGGAAGATATAAAAAAAAAAATCAATGATAAGGATGAACTAAACTAGTAAAATCATGTATCTGGTTTGAATCAGTGGGGGCGGGTGGGTCCCTCTCGAAAATGTCTTTACAGGATGGTCCAAAAGTTGGCTCAATGAACCCAATGTTTCATGTTCACTCTTAACTGTCTTCACAATTTTGTAAATATTGTATGTTTGTGTGTTTGTCTCTTTTCTTGTTGTCTGTTTTTGCGTTAAATGGACCCCTTCTGTGTCTGAATTAAAGATTAAATAATAATTAACACATTTCCCGTTCAACCCATGGCCTAGAGAAAGACCTACTTTGTGAGGACAGGCTATTGTCCGCGGCGCGTCGTCTTCTTTGATTTTTCTGGGTTTCATCCTGTGGAAATAAATAATCAGTTACAAACATATTGACCAGGTTCGTTCAGAGGGTGGACTCTTTCAGAACTTTGCTTTTCATCATCAACATCTATTTTTAAAACAGAGCCCACAGTTTCAAATATTAGATTGTATAATAATGCATTTAGCTTTGATTACGGCACACATTTACAGCAGCATGGTTACAAAATGTCAATCCTTTATTTTCTTCCCACCGAGTGTCATGTTAAAAGGCAAACGACCAACTGTATGTGGCAACAGAGCCTTCAGTGAAATGTATTTAAGTTTTTAAAAAGGCAAGTATGTACACTTTTATCTTAAAATTACAACTCCATCTTGTAGGTCGACGTGTACAAGGCATAATTGGCCCGTTTTGATCAAAATTAAAATTTCAAGCAAATGATCTCCTCAGCAGCTACTGTATGTACATGTGATTTATTTGTAATACATTTGCAAAAATCTCCAAAAGAATTGTTTTCACGTTGTCATTATGGGGTTTTGTGTGTAGTATTTTAAGGAGAAAAAATGAATTGAATCCATTTTGGAATAAGGCTGTAACAACAAAATGTGAAAACATTTAAGCACTGTGAATACTTTCCGGATGCACTGCACATGTGAGTGTTGAAATGCAGGTAAGATACTGGAAACACATACTAGACATTTGTTCTCTTAACTTTTCCACAAGTAACGGTAAGTTTCAGAAACATAGTTAAAATAAATGTAGAACGTGAGGTCATTAATCACCACATATCTAATTCCCTCTAAGAAGAAAACAAGTATTTTTAACTTGAACAGTGAGGAGGTGGACACAGCTCCATGACGCTTCCTCTTCACACATGAATAAGTCGAATAAGGACAAGTCTCTTTTGTGCACTCACCTGGCAAACTCGGCCAGCTGCTTGGGGTCGGACAGGTCAATTCCCGGAATTCCACCAGGGGGCAGCTTCTTCCCCATCATGTACTCGGAATAATCTGGAGGCGAGTTCTCCCCGACGATCTGCTCCTCTACCACAGACTCGTGATCAATGTCTTCAGAGTAACCTAGGAGCAAGTTACAGAGACTGAACGGATAAAACACTCGCTTTAACTAGCTACACGCACAAGGACATCAAATGAGAGTGGAACAAGAAAAATACAAATCATAGTTTGTCTTTCAAGTCTTCCAGTCTATCCCTCAATCATAGGGATGGAGCCTGTTCATGTCTGATACTGATCTCGATACTTTGGCTTTTGATATCTGCAGATACTTGATATGATGAGCTGATATCAGTGAAGGAACTTATAGAATCATAGTATCCCTTCAAAATCACAGAACTTTATTTTCACTCCTATGCTTGTTCCGAGTTACCAGCTAATACATAGTCGGATTACATCCATTGGAAGCACCAACAGGATTAGGGCTGTAACAATACACTGATTAATTTCAATTTATACATTTATTTTTCAGTATAAAGAGTATTTAATCCAAATAAATACATAAATAAATTTTACATTCGATATATGAACTACAACAGAGAGCCAATTACAAAATAGAGACCAGACAGTTACAAAAACAGGAAGTGTGTAAATGTCTTGTTTTGAGGAATCAACCAATTATCGGCCACTGTTATGTTTATTTAAAATATTAGTCTAGTCCAGTTTACTGGTTGATACAACTCATCAGCTTAAAACAGAATCAATACCAATACTTGGGCCAACAAAAGGTCCAGGATTGGATTCATAAAGTGATACATATTTTTGTTCATGTTAAGATTAAATATAATGATGAAAAATAAAATCTAAAAATAAAATGTGACAAGAGCACAAATAAAGAACACATCAAGATGAGTTATTTAAAAAACTAGACAGATTATGATTAAATTGTTTCATGTTTCTGAGGCTTTGGTCAAAAGGAGATTTACACAGTCACAATTTACAGGTAAAACACAACATACACAATAAACACAGACAATTGACCTAATGCTAGGTGGTGACAACAAAGTTGAAGTACCACAAAAAAAAATCATGAAATAAATGACATGGCAGAAAGTCATGTCAACCTCACTTGACAGATTCATTTATATCAGAAAGCTCAATTACGGTATTCATAAATTAATACTAATATCCATGTATCATTATTATCATTGAACACCTCTTTACGTTTGTTTTTAACATTTTTTAGAACATTAAAAACAATTCATGTGTGTGTCGAATCAGCGGTTTAATAAAGCCAATCATTATCAGACCCTAGACAGGATCGAGCCGCGGCTGAAACGTGACTCACAGATATACACAGGAAACATAACAGAATAATCTGTAACCGAGCGCTCTTGCGTGTTAAACACACTATAACCATGTCCATACGGTGAATGTGCTTAAATATGATTGGGAAGTGGAGTTTCTTGATCACAGCCATAGCATTAGCATTAGCATTAGCATCGCCCTGTGCGGAGAACGCGCGTGCACAAAGCAGGTTCCAGCGCGAGACGCAGCCACACCAGTCCCCCACGGTTAACCTCCACCTTAAAACACCTCCAAATGATCCTGCCTGCTGTATAATGACATAACACACATTGGCGTGGATTTATCTTGGTTAAAAACTGTGAATGCAGTGTGTATTTGCGGCCTATGCACTCTGCGCTTCAGACTTCCACCACCTCCACCCTCGCCCGTGATCGCCATCTTTTCGGGTCCGCCGCCATACTTGCGACTATCGGGGAATATGGCGGCGCCCAGCATCGCCTAAAAACATGGCTTCCCTTCAAAACAAAAACATTTAACCATGCATGCATCGAAACCCTGCTTTAAACCGCGCATAATGGGGCTTTTTGAGGGAATACTGCTGGGCGCATCGGCAGCGGACAACGCCCCAAACACACACGCACACAACAAGGCCTCGCTTTTAGACACATGACATACAAAAGCAAGCACAACTTACCCGAGGCCCACATTGTGACGGAAAATTCGCCTTCCAGCGTCTTTATCTGCACTTGTTTTTGCTCCCATTTGCGCGCACCAGCCTCTGCGTTGCTCAAATAGCTCTTTTTGCCTGATTTCTTGCCACCGGAGCCTCCCGCTCGCTTCACCCGACTCATCGCGCCTTTCCCGGCCACAGTCACTAAAGTCTGCTCTATGTATTCGTCCTCCACTCCCGGAGCGGGCACCGGGATGAGGATTTGGTCTTCGAAAGCGCTGCTGCCATCCCCGTGCAGGTCGGAGTCATCGCCACCCACGACCTCCTCTCGCGTTTGGACGAGGATAACTTCTTGGTGGTGGTGGTGGTGGTGGTGGTGGTGATGCATGGAGTCATCGGAGACCAGAGGCTGCAGCGCGATCATAGGCTGCCCATCTTCATCCTCGTCCACCGTAGTCTCAATAGTCTCCACTGGTATTGTCTCTACTTCAATTTCATGCAGTTCCACTATTTCTGCAGGCATCTCCGACCCGTCCGCCTCTATGTACAAGGTTTCCCCCGATGCCATGTCGTAGTGCGCCAGCTTGCCTGTTTCATCCACGCCGCCTCTTTACGCACTGGGTGTCTGGTCTCAAAGCGCACACACCCCCTGAGCACTGCTCTGTCTGCGGCTGCTGCTGCTGTCTGGCGTGCGCCCTCTTCGACAACAATTTTTGCTTCCCACGCCAAATCTCGTTGCCACTATGCATTTCTCACAGGGAAGAGACGCGAGAGTTCAGAGCTGGACAGCAGAGGGCGACAAATAGCGCAATGTGTGAAATGTGACATTTAAAATATGGCTTTTTATTCGTTGGCAACTATGGTATGTATATAATAGTGTAAGTGTTTGGTATATTTGACTGTTATTGTCTCAACTGGTTCCTATCTCAGGATAAATAATGAGAGCTTTTCTTCCGCCGAGATAAGATGTGTCAGAAGTTTTAGTTTCATGTACATAAATGAATATTAGATATAAGCTGGTAGAAGTAAATTATTTTACTGAATTAAACGCGTAGAATTACGCTTGTCATCTCTGCTTAAAGCAGATTACTTGGTCGTGGGGGTAGTTTGTCTTCAGCCCCTCTTGATGCCTGTCCAATGCCTAAAATACTGTTTTTATTATCATTGTGTGTCCTCTAGAGATTGTATTCAAATCGAGTTAACGTGAAAACAGCATAGATCTAGAACAGACTGACACCAGATGGCGCCAAAGCCTTTTGAATGGTAATACAGTGCCCTTTATAGTCCTTACTTGTATTAATTTTGTATAATACTTGTAATAATTTTTTTTCGATAGATACATTTATTTTGTTAACTTTATTATATATAAAACAATGTTAGGTTAGCTAATGAACACCATACTTAATGCAAAATCACCACCAACGTATGGTAATCATATTTTAATGGCTCACAAGTTGGTGGCATTTATTTCCAGTACAGTGACAATGCTCTCACTTCAACTGTGTCAGTCTTTCCTCAGGGACCAACAGACAAAACAACACACAGTAAGTTAAATTAAAGAATGTTGGCTGTGAAAGAGCTGCTTATGAAAAGGATTCACTTCAAGAAGTTGGACCTGTATGAAAAGGGATTTGTTTTATTCCCCGAATTTTAAAACAAGGGTTAAAGGGTTAAAAAAGATCAAAGACACAAATCTGCCGCCATATGTTAGCGCCTCCCAGAAGCAGGTGGTAACAGGGTGTAGTCTGTGGGAGCTGGAGAGAAGGATGAGGTTCTCATGCAGGGCATCCTGGGTAACTCCAGACACCCTCTGCATGACACTATGGCCGCTCACAAGAGTAACTGTAGCAACAGGCTTCCATCGTTTTAAGAGACTGTACAACAGATATGTCTGAGTTAAAATGTGCACTATTGTTTGTTATTGTTTGCTTTGGAATGTTCCTCATAGGATGACGTGATTTTTTTTAAATAAAGTTATATTTTATTACTCAAAAACCCAAATTCTAACCTCTCTACAGATACAAGTTGTTCCTTAGCCCTTCGAAATCCCACGTACAAAGAGGACTCTGCACCAGGAAAGTTGTGTGGTGATGGCCAGTAATGGTCATCAGTCATTACACATAACCTATTTAGAAGAGAAGATGCACAAATAACTTAAACAATCAATCAATATTTCAACATATAATTCACAGTTTTATTTAAATCCATTGTAAAGTTATTAGCGTTTCTTTTTTGTCTTTTTACGCCGTCCAAACAGGAAGCATTTTGTCATAAAATGAATTAAATGGACAATACTTCTCCAAATCCTTGCAGCCAATAAACATTTTATTAACAACATGGTCACAAATACTCTGGTGTAATATTTTTTATCTTTTTTTTTTTTTAAGTTTGCAAAATCCAAACAAGTTAATTCAACCCTTTGACATTTTTTTTCTCATCCAGGCCTTGTCTAGTGACGGCAATAGGGACAAAAACATTGTTAAAAACTCTCCAGCTCATGTGACGAGAATAAAGCAAAAACATGTTCTTTTAAAATAATAAAAAATACATAAAAAATAACAAAAAGCATGTGCAATATTCAACTTTATCGTCACTGTCAAAGTCTCCTGTTGGCCACCATTGTTGTTCAGGTTAAGTATGGGGTCCAAGCTAGAGACGTGTGTAAACAGCACCTTTTTCTTTCTTTCATAACAAAACTAACATTTCTACAACACGTCTCCTCGGTCTTAGGTCGTTGACATAAAATTGGCACGGTTTAAGCTGGGTTACCTAATTTTCCAACTACAATAAATGCAACGGTGTAATAAAATCCATTTAACTAGTGCCTTACTCTCACAGCAGATTGGTTCCAACCATTATTATTTTAATTTTTTTCATACCGGAAAGTAAAAACAAGAGGACCATTATCACTCCAATCAGCTCTCAGCCCAAAGCGTCCTATAGGAACTCACTGGGCTTTTTCTTATAAGTAGGAGGCGACAGTAGCTCAGTTGGTAGAGCATTGGCCTTTGAGCCTGAAGGTCATGTATTCGAGCCCACCATAAGACTTTCTCCACCGACTCCCTCAGCTGTTGTTGTGTCCTTGGCAAGACACTTAACTTCTGGGAACACCAGGTGCCACAGTGGGGCGGCTGCGGCTGTAATGTACCAAACTGTCGTTGTGTCCTTAGGCAAGACACTTCACCCCCATTGCCTAGAATGATCTGGTGTAAATGGTTGGAGGTGGTCAGAGGGGCCGATGGCACAGACTGCCTCGCTTCTGTCAGTGTGCCCCAGGGCAGCTGTGGCTACAGTAGTAGTTTATCACCACCGTGTATGGAGTGAATGAATAATGACATTTAAAGCGTCTTTGAGTGTCCAAAAAAGCGCTATGTAAAACCGATGCATTATTATTTATTATAATTAGGAAAAAATACCTTGTTGTTAATGAGATTAGGTCTACATAATGTCCTCTTATTTTAGGTATTATTGATTGAACACAAAAATTAGGTACGCCAGCTTTAACAGCCCCATACGTATCTTTGCTGTTGCTTTTCCCGGAGTTTTACGCAACGTGGCATTAAACGTATTTTTCTAAGCTTTATTCACATCTTTTTTCTCAGCCTAGAATTGAATAAATGCAAAATGTTCAGTTTAAAACCACACTGTGCATAATATTCCGGACACATTTGAAAAACTGTTTAGTTTTCATATAGAGTTGGGGAATGATTGATTATGAATGTGACAAATTCATTTAAAACATGTAAACATTTTCAATTCTTTGTACAAGGACGTTTTCCAACCCATTGTCATAGCCCCGGGTCCTCATCGCCACATGCTCAAAGTTGGCCAATATTGGAAGTATTGATGTTGGGTCCAGTATCGGATTGAAGATATATTGGTTCAGGCGATATCTTGAATCTTCTGCCTTATTTATGTAACAAGTTCCTTTTTACTGGCTAATTGTAGCACAGAATGTCAAACAGGTTTTCCATTTGATCCCAGAACATACAACGAATAACAATCCATATTGATTTGATACCGATACTGCTACTTCACTTCTATGAGAGAAATGTACCATTGTCACTTCACCAAAACTTCCAACTAGTCTGAAAAATATATGTATGTTCAGCTAAACACGTGTCTGTCTCGATATGACAGTATTTGGATTGATCTGCTAATCACAAAGCGCATGAAAAAGACATCCTTCACGGTGACTTAAAAGCTTATAAACGATGATTTAGGCTGAATTTTCTACGTCCACTTACAGTATTCCACATCAATACCCTTCTAACTCTTTCACAAACTACTTACAAATCCTGAATCAAACTTATATAAGGCCATTAGTCGAATTAAGTCCGTCCTCTTCATGCCATTATAGGTGTCTGTGTTGCATTAGTTCAAGGTTTTCAAGATACCTTCACAGCAATAATGGCCCTAACAGTGACTTTGACAGCGTTAAAGACAAAAGACAGTGAACCATTTTCCTTCAGGCCGAGAAGAGGGAGAGTGGGCGAACGGACGGACAAATCGGTGCTGAAAAGGAGCCAAGCAAAAATGGGTTTTCATGAGTTAAAATGATCTTCTCTTTCTCTCTGATTTTGACGTTTTTATTTTAGATTTCCCTTGTCATTTGCCAACTAATTTTACTTATTTTGTTTGCCGGTTGTGATAAGCGCAATGTTGGGGAGAATACTTTGAAGACTGAAATCTGAATACTGGGTTGGAACACACACACACACACACACACTCATTTATATAACATTACATTGGAGTGTAACAATGTAGTGATGGATTAAAGCTGGGGTACCTAACTTTTAAACCACAAAAACTGAAGAGAATCCATGTGACTAGTTCTCCGCTCTCAGCACACTTTGGTTCTATCACTAAAATCCACATGCATGATTTTTTTGGCCTCTGTCACATCTATAAATCAGATTTTTCAGACAGAAAAGTGAACCACCTTCACTCAGCCAATCAGCTCTCAGCCCAAAACCTTCAATAGTCATAACCTCTTACAAGTATGCAAAAAAAAAAAATATTTACAGCATTTTGTGGTCTAACTTGTTCAAACAGTTTATATTTACAGAAGACTCTTTCTGTTCGAACAAAAACATAAATTATTTATGAAAGAAATTAGTTACCTCAGCTTTAAAACAAGACCATTTTATGCACATTTTTTAATTGTATCTTGAAAAGGATCAAACACACCCACAGGCACCAAAAAGTTCATTCTTTTGATAATAATATCATGCCTTTTGAGGCTTAAATGTTGTGATCACATACAACAGTGACTGTTTTTGGAAAAACAACAAAAGTGAAAGTAATGTTACTCAAGAATAGTGTTGGTGGTGTAAGAGCACCACCAACGAATAGAACGAATAGAGCAACGATAATAGAGTTTTATCCAAATGTTAACTGCTCTATACACACACTTCAAAACATGCTACGAGATAAAATAGTTTTGCCTGTAAATCTTAAGATAATGTATCTGTCTTAAGAATGTCCTCAGGATGTAGCACTTAAGTCTTTTCAGAGACAAATCTAGATCTAGTCTCGCATCTGCGCTCAACAAACCCATTCATTGACAGAATAATCATTAGATTACTGTAATTGCTGGACTATACTTTTTGAAGTACTTTGAACTTTGCAGCCTTTGTAGCAGAGCAGCCAATGTATGTATTTTATTTCTGTCAAACTGCCGCTGAAGTGCAGGAATGGATTTCGAGTGCTTTTGCGTTTCAACACCTCATCGTTAAATCATGTTGTGTCCAGTCCATCTATCGTCTGCTTTGTTTTGTTCCATCAGCTTTTAGTTTAGTTTTACATTACAACATGAAAACCTGCAGCTTATATTTAAGTGCGGCCTTAATGTCGACACAATTGACTCTTTTCAAATATACCGCCACAGTTTAGTTAGTGATTCGTTCAGTAAGTACCACAGACTGTCAAAACAATGCTAAGTTACAGCCCTAGTACATATAGTATTTACTCCCCAACACTGGACTCGCAGAATCGACAGCCTTGAGTGGGCATTTTGGAAAGATAACATAACATAAAGGGATTCTACTCGTCTTGACATCAAAATAGATCAATAATGAGATTTCCAAGGATAGTATAAAACAGGCCCAACACTATAGTTCAATAATAATTCATTCTAATACTGCTAATTTCAGGTCATTTTAAGATCATAAAGACAGGATTTGTGCTCGGCGTCCCAGCATTCACACGATCAAACATACAACTAAACCAAATGGTACACAGACTTTACAAAGGTGTACATGGGATGGGTGCAGATGTCACAGTATCATGTTTCCCTCCTCTTCGTCTTTTTGTTCTTTTCTTCTTGAGGGCCCCAGCACTTGAAGCAGGTCACGTTTTCTTGAAAAAGGTTGTTCGTAATTTTGGGGGGGCAGTGGCTCCGAAAGATTATGTCGTGCTAACCCGAGTGAGTTCATGTCTAAGGGCTGCGTGGGAAAGAACGAGACAGAACATGAAATAGTCAGACGAGGCCAGCTTTGCAAACAGTGCAATGTGTTCTCTCAGTTGTGCCTGAAAGTTTACACACCCGGGCTTTATCCCACTCATCGTCAGGGGTTGTGTGAAGCCGTCTATTGTTAAGTAAGCGTTTCTTTTCTATTTTCAAATTAGTATGGCAACACAAAATTCTCTTCAGACTCTGATAAAAAGTTACCATTCCCCAGCTCGCAAATGCCTGAATTGCACCTTTAACATATCAAAAGAACAGTTCATGCAAGGCAGCCCAGGAATGTACAGGAACTTGGAGGATTGGGGCAGCTTATCCAAAACTCCCACAAAAGACATAAATGTAATGGCTGCAATTCGCCCTCGGGCCTGAGTTAAAATATAAAACATGTTTAATTGACAATAAATGGCTTCACACAAGCTCCAACAATAAGTGAAAAAACAAGATTTTGCGTTATCATTAATAATCTCCAAAAATATTCCATTATAATAACATTTCTGTTTGGTGTGAACACTTTCAAGCAAAAGATTTGTTCTGTTATTTTGTTTAATTGACTTTCAATTACATAAACTACCTATTCATGAGATGGGGACAGTAATTATAGATATGGGGACTTTTGTAAGGAGCGTCTTTTTGGCAGAAATGACTTGTAAATGGCAAACAAGACAAAGCTAGCCTTTTCTCTTAGAATTGATCAATACTGTTAACAATTTAATTGTTTACTCTTCACGAATAAACTGTTCAAGATTGAAAAGAAACTGAAAAAAAGCCGAATTCTCGTGTTTCTATTTTCAGTACACCATCATGTTTAGATCAGTTTCCAAAAATAGAACAGTTAACAAAGCAGTCAGTTATGCCAGGTTTAAAGCAGTGAATTGTGGACCTGTATCTGAGCCTTTAGTGCCCCCTAGTGGTCATGGGTATGAGTTACATCTCCCCTGTTTGTTGCAATGAACTCAATATTGTGATAATACAAAGAAGATGTCATTTCTGTGACTTACCATCAATAATTTCATCCTTTACTTTGTGCAGTTCACGGAAAACTTCGTCCAAAATTTCCTTCAAAGTAAAATAAACAATCTTAATCATCTTAAATTCTCTTCACAAACACAGGCCAAAACAAATGGTTTAGTTTGTTTACCTGTTTCATCCTATCGAAGTCTATAGAGTCCGAATCTCCACCGCTCCCTGCAGCTCTGGCTCTGCGTGAACAACACACATGTCACTTTTTACAATAATAATAATAATAATAATAACAATGCATCGGTTATATACTGTAGTGCCGTTTTGGAAACTCAGACGCTTCACATGGCATTATTATTTCACTCCATACACAGTGGTGATACACTACTACAATCGCCACAGCTGCCCTGGGACATATTGATAGAAGCGAGGCCACCGGCATGTGACATCAACCCCTCTGACCACCACCAACCATCAATGCACACACCAGACTCAATGCGGTGAAGCGTCTTGCCTTTTAGAGGGTTTTTCCTGCACAAGGTAACACAAAGTCCCTCCAGATCCAATAATAATACAAATAATAATATAATATTTTTTAATTTTATTATTGTTATTGATAATTTTAATTATATAAAATTATTATATTAATAATGTATATTAACAATGTATAATGTATTAATAATGTATAATGTATTATTGTATTAATGATTATATATATCCATTTTCTTCCCCTTTGTCCATTTCTGGGTGGGGAGTTGGCATTCAGCTACCCCCCAACTCACAGAACACTAGCTCCTGACTGATCCTGCAGGTGGCTTCTCTGTCAGTGACAGCACAGCCTTGATCTTTCAGCAGGGGCTTCAGGCAAAGTCCTGCTGTCATTGTGCCATCAGTGTGAGTTGGTGGAGAAGGACTCGAACCGACAACCTTCGGGCTCAAAGGCTAATGCTCTACCAACATACATACATATTATTTCAGAGTTTCAAATGTCTCCTACCTCGACACCATGGACCGATCCGCAGAGTTGGCCCGATCCCATGGTTTCCTCACACCGTCTAAAAACCAAAAATGAAACAATTTAAAAAACCCAATCCATGTAAAATCAATGCATCAGTTTGTAATAAACAAGTTTTACCTGTGGAGTTTTGTCCGCTACGAGTGCTGGGTGAAGGCGAGTTTGGGTCGTCCTAAACAAAACATTGGGATGTAGACTTAAAATATATATATCATTTTAGTTTCCATTTTAACACCATGGTTTTTATTGTTACTTCCTTTATCCTAAAAAACAAAAAAACCCCAAAAAAGTATTGTTTGTGTGACATGTTATTTAGTTTTACAGAGCACACTGATCAGGCTTCGGCCAAAAGACTAGGTTCCAGGGCGTGGTGCATCCTGGTGTGGAAGAAAAAGATGACTTGGGGTTTTTGGGCAAAAAAATATATTTTTGCTCAGTGAGAATTACCCCAGGACTCCACATCCTCTGTCTCGGCTCATGCCCCATTCCTCTAAATCAAAGTCTTCATTTAAGCCCAAAACAGTGATGTGTGAGAGTGCAGACAGCCTCTGCACCCGGAGGTCACTTATCTCCTGAATTTGAGTGACAGAGGCAGAGATCGCACTGAGCCTGAATATCAAAGCCACAGTGCAGTTATTAACCTTATCTTATCTTAAAAAGGATAAAATATGAGATAATAATTGCTTGAATCAATTAGTTTTTATCTTAATCTGAGCACGTTCTGACTGTGTTAAAAAAAACATTTGCCAACGGGTCGTATTTAGTCGTATTTCAGGAATTGTTGTTTATTTTCTCATTCCAATGAAGACATTTCTTGTGTATTTTCGTCCCATTGGCAAATCTTGTTTTAAGGCAGTGAAAATGTGCTCAAATGAAGATACAATTTGCCAAATTTGAGCATTTTTTTCATCGCTTTTTGCAGTGCAGGGACTTTAGTTTACGTTACTACTGAAAATGAGGATAATCTTCTGATAGGTTTTCCTGTTTGGAGCGATTTGAACAGTGAGGCATTTTGAGGCGTATTGCTCGAGTTTGCGTCACTTAAATGCTGTAGAAAAACACAGGGCTACTCACGTTTTGGCCATCTTCTGCTGCTTTCCGTCTGCAGGCAGAGACATAGACTTTGATACTTTGAAACACATAACATACTGTTTGTTTGGTCTAGCGCTCAGACCTTCGGGCCAGCAGTGCGTTCATCTCCTCCATCAGACCTCCGCCGCTGCCGCCACTCGTCCTGTTGGCTTCAGTCTTGGGGGCCGGCGAGCTCTCCGTCTCCGTCTTGAAGAAGCAATATTCACACACACCCAATGAAAAACTATTAGGACTGTATAGTATGATATACCATATGCAAATGAACTATCAGAGATCAAATAAATCCTGTAAGTGTCATTACTCTCAATCTACTCTGAGAATCGAGAAATGTTAACATTAAATGGAACTTCCTATACACATCTCAAAACATCTCAAAACAATAAAAACAAACCAGCCAAGAGTCATTTTCTCTATTTGTAAAACTTTTCTCAGTTTGTTTTAGCCCATATTTTTCATCTGGTTATTTTTTATTGTATTTATTTATTTATTTAACTTATTTTATTGAACTTGAGTCTTAGATTTATCTGAAAAAAAAAGAGTTGCCTGGATTGAACCAAAGCTGGACAAAAAGTTAGAATGGCTTTTTTATTTATTTATTGCTTCATTGGTTGAGACCTCTCTGGATTGTAGCCTCAATATTGGACATGTTTTTGGTGGTAGCACCGAGAGGTACAGTAATCTACACAGACACGGGTAGAACATGTAAACTCCACTCAGACAAGTGCTATCCACTCAATTGTTTATAATTCAATACATAAAATGTAAAATTCAAAACAAAACAACAAGGAGCATAAGAATATTAAAATAAATTATTAAACAAAATAAAACCTTCTGAGATCTCACTTTACATTTTTTTTTTTATTACACATTCAAAAAATGTGTTTGGCTCCCACATAAACACATTTTTAGGTAAAAGCCTTTTGGCTTTCTCCTGGAAACTTCCCAACCTCTGGTTTAGAAGAACTTTAGGTTCCATTGTTAAAAAACAAAATACACTTACATCAATGGAACCTGCTAAACTTCAAGCAATAATTCATTTTATTTTCAGTACAGTGTTTGGATGACACACTTCAACATAATAATACCTTATACTGTAACCATTACACATCTTTTACTTTTGCGTTGGTGATTCGGAGTTGGCAAAGACATACACTTTGTATTGCCCAAAAAAAGCACTCAGTGAAATATATCAATTTGTTTCAAAAGACACATTTAATTATTCTTTTATTTTCTTGAACTTAAGATGGAATCTCCCACGGCAACAGAACATGACGATGTAATGTTCTGAACATTCTATCACCACAGCAACCAGCATTCGGGCGGCACGGTGGCTGAGTGGATAGCACTCTCGCCTCTCAGCAAGAAGGTCCTGGGTTCGAATCCCGGTCGGACCAGTGCTTTTCTGAGTGGAGTTTGCATGTTCTCCCCGTGTCTGCGTAGGTTTCCTCCGGGTACTCCGGTTTCCCCTACCACTAAAAATATGTCCAATAGTTCTGGCATGCGCCTCCTATACTGGTGACCCCGCTCCCATCTCTGTGTGGGGTGAGAGACAAATGCCCAAAAAAAAATTTACAATTGTAAACCGCTTTGAGACTCAGATCTGCAGTGAAAAGGTGGTATATAAATAAAGATTACTTACTTACATTCTGTCATCGTAACCATGGGTCCGAAAAAGTCTACATGTGTGAAGACAGACAGGACAAGATTTACTTTATTTGATTCGTGTGGAGTAAACCGTTAACACAGTTTGACAAAGCATCGATACAAAACTGACAAGATGTGGTGTTTTAGAAGAAATAGGAGTAAAAAGTAGCTTTACAAAGCCATGGTGGACAATTTGGTTCTTGCAGAGGATTCAAACCAGGCTTTGTTGGCTGAGGTTAAGAGACTGAAGGAGGAGAGGAGTCACCTGGTCAAGACTCAAGAGGCCGAAACACAAAAACTGAACGAGCAGGTGACACAACTGCTGATGGAGAAGTCCGCTATGGAGAAGGACTTTTTGGACTCCACCAATTTGATCCAGCACCAACTTGACACCACCCTCGAGGAGAAAAACAGCCTCTATTTTTCTCTACAAGAAACCAGCGCAGAACTGCAGTTGGCAAAGGACGAGGTGAGGACTTTGGAGATGTGTGCTGAAGAGGACTGCCGACAAAAGGACTCCGTCATAAAAGGTATGGACACAGAACTCTCAAAAGTTGACGATGAAAACATGAACACATTAGAAGTAATGAACTCTTGTCTTCTAGATGCTGAACATTATATTGATGAACTGAAGACCAAGATGCAGGACCAGGAGATGCATCTGAGGAAAGGTATTTATGAGCTGAAGGAAAAACTGCTCAGGTCTCAGAAAGAGATTGAGGAGTTTAGAGAAAACTTTGTTCTGAAAATCTCTGTTATTGCAGAAATGGAGGAGGAGATGTTAAAATGTAAGGCTCAAGAAGCTGAAACACAAAAACTGAAGGAGCAGGTGACACAACTGCAGATGGAGAAATGTGCTTCGGAGAAGGAATTTTTGGATTCCTCTACTTTCCTCCAGCACCAACTCGACACCACCCTCCAAGAAAAAAACAGCATCCAACTGTCTCTACAAGTAACAAGCGCAGAGCTGCAGTCGGCAAAGGACAAGGTGCAGGACCTGGAAGTCGCTTGTGCCAAGTATGAGGAAAAGAACAAGGTCGTCAAACTTCTCCACAATCCTGAAGGAGGAGAAACAGGACTTGTTCACAGCACTGGAGTCCCTGAAACTGACTCTGAATAAGGAGAAACAGGACTTGTCCACAGCACTGGAGTCTGTAAAACAGACACTGAGGCGTGCTGAAGAGGACTTCCGACAGAAGGACTCCATCATAAAAGGTAAGGACACAGAACTCTCAAAATTTGAAGACAAAAACATGAACACATAAGAAGTTATGAACTCTCGTCTTCTAGATGCTGAACATTATACTGATGAACTGAAGACCAAGATGCAGGACCAGGAGACGCATCTGAGGAAAGGTAATTATGAGCTGAAAGAAAAACTGCTCAGGTCTCAGAAAGAGATTGAGGAGTTTAGAAAGAACTTTGTCCTGAAAAACTTTGTTGTTGCAGAAATGGACGAGGAGCTGATGAAATGTAAGGAGTCAAAGGCAGTGGCAGTAAGGTCACTGCGAAAGGCCCTGGACGAGAACATACGCCTTCATTATGAAATGAATCAATCAATCAATCAATCAAATTTTATTTATGAAGCGCTTTTCATACAAAAGATGCAACACAAAGTGCTTTACAGTTTGGTTAAAAACAATCCCGCCGGCCCAAGACCCCTCCCCCCGACCACCCAACAGACCCATCCCAAACCACAGACAAACACACACACACACACACGCTCCCATGCACACTCTCTGACACACACACACACACACACACACACACACACACACACACACACACACACACACACAAGTAAAACAGTAAAACAATGATGAGAGACTTGGCAGGGTTCGGATGCAACCAGTTGAAAAAGCGTCATCCTAGGAGCCGTCTGCACCAGGAGCAGAGAGCCACAGGGGACGACACAGGATCTAGAGGAGACATGAAACCGAGGCCCCAGGCCCCCACCAGGTCCAAGAGTCCGACCCCCACAGCCACACCGACCACTGCTCCCAGTGCAGAGGGCTCCTCCAGAGGAAACACTGGGTACACTAAAAACAATACAATAACAATACAATATGTAAAACAGAAAAATGTGAAACTAAAATGAAACTAAAATGAACTAACACACAATACATGAATGAAAGCAATAGCAATACAATAAATAATAGAGGATAAATAGAATATATAAAATGAAATAGTAAAAACTAATCAAAAGCTAATCTAAAAAGGTGCGTCTTGAGCCTGCCTTTAAAAATATGAACGTTCTCTGCGGCCCTGAGCTCCTCCGGCAGACTGTTCCAGAGACGGGGGCCGTAGTGCTGGAAAGATGCCTCGCCGTGAGAGTGTGTCCTGACTTTGGGGATGGTTAGGAGTCTGCTGCCGGAGGAGCGCAGGGGCCGGGAAGGCTCATAGGATAAAAGCAAATCTGAAAGATAAGAAGGCCCAAGACCATTAAGACATTTAAAAACCATTAAAAGAACCTTAAAATCGATCCTGAAACACACGGGGAGCCAATGCAGCGATTTTAAAACCGGTGTAATGTGGTCCCGCCCCCTGGTCTTAGTCAGGACACGTGCGGCCGAGTTTTGGAGTAATTGTAAACCTGAAATGTTCTTTTTGGGAAGACCAGAGAGCAGGGCATTACAGTAGTCAATGCGACTGGTGATAAAAGCATGCATCAGCGTCTCCGTGTTGGCCCGAGAGAGAATGGGGCGGACCCTGGCGATGTTCTTTAGATGATAAAAACCTATTTTTGTGATGTTCTTGATGTGAGGAATAAAAGTCAGCTCAGAGTCAAAGATTACGCCCAGGTTTCTCACTTGTGATGATGGATTAAAAGAGTGTGATTGGAGTTTTGATAAAAGTTTCTCTCTCTGGGCCTCAGGACCGATGACTAAAACCTCAGTTTTGTCCTGGTTGAGCTGGAGAAAGTTTTCTGCCATCCAGGATTTCAGGTCTAAAATGCAGTTAAAAAGAGCATCCATTGGCCTGGTGTCATCAGGAGACATGGAGATGTACAGCTGTGTATCATCTGCATAACTGTGGAAGTTAATTCCATGTCTCCTGACGACACCGCCAAGAGGGAGCATGTACAGGTTAAAAAGGACTGGACCTAAAATGGAACCCTGGGGCACACCACATGTGATTTTATGGACCTGAGAGGAGCAGGTATCCAAACTCACCATGAAGGATCTGTCTGTTAAATAAGAAGTGAACCATTTGTGGACAGCACCAGAGAGGCCGAGGTGTTTCAGGCGGGATAAAAGAATGGTGTGGTCTACTGTATCAAAGGCAGCGCTTAGATCCAGTAGAACCAACACGGTCACCTTTTTAGAATCATAACTTAGTCTAAAATCATTTAAAATCTTTAAAAGAGCAGTCTCTGTGCTGTGGTTCACCCTAAGACCTGATTGAAATTTCTCTAAAATTTGTTGCTGATCTAAGAAGGCATTGAGCTGGGTAAAAACAAGTTTTTCTAAAATTTTGCTTAAAAATGGCAGGTTGGATACCGGTCTGTAGTTGTTAAAATCATTAAAATCTAAATTGCTCTT